ACAGACACACACACACACGTCGGCATTGCACTGGAAGCGGGGAGATACCGTTATATGACGCAATGTATTTAGATGAGGGCGATGGGCGCACTAATCAGATTGACGTGCTTCGACGAAGGCGCTGCGTTATATATGTTTCCCGCTCGCTGCCAGTCTTGCCTGACAGTCGTTCCAGGCGGAGTTGCGTTTATCCTGCTGTCCTCTAGTCCTCCTGTCCTCCGCCCCTGCCTCCTGTCCTCCGCCCCCACCCTCCCCTCGCCCCATCCCCTGGCGCTCCCGCCCTCTTTCTCCTCCTGGTCCTTTCTCCTCGATCCATCTCCCCCTCACATTCCTTTCCCTCGCTGTCAGCGATGATATTCGACCGCTTGCGGGTGCAACTTCAGTCGTGCAGGAACTTGTCAAACACTGACCGCCTCCTCCTGACCTATTTATCCCTAGTGCCTTGGTGCGCGGTTCCGTCCATCGTCTCCAATCTTCCCTTCCTCGTTGTACGCACCTGCGTCTGTGCGCTGCTTATGATGCATTGCAAGATGATGATGATGATGATGCTGCTGCTGCTGCTGTTGCTGATGATGATGATGATGATGATGATGTTGCTGATGCCGGTTTCTCGCCTCCCCGTTTCTACTTACACTACGGCCCAGTTTCTACTTACACTACGGCCCAGTCGTCTCACAAATGCCAACCAACGAATTAGAAATCCCAGCCGCGATAAGAAGATACACGTGATCACCGACTGTGCAGTATAATTATACCATGGCGGATATGGTGGATTAAGGGTGCGAGGCTAGTTCAACTAGCACGGAGCAGCCCGCTGGCCACGATTGCCACAAAACAACACCACATCGCACATTCTGTGTAGATTATAAGATGCGGAAACCAAAGCTGCGCGCAAAAAAAATCAAGCGCAAAAAAAAATCAGAAAACGTTTTCTGAAAAAACGCACGCCCAGAAAATTTCATTTTTTCTTAAAAAAAAAGACCTCTGGGAAGGAGCGGCTTCGCCAGATTGTGCGCACCAGCGATAGGCAGCTGCACTTCGGCGATTACTGGCAGAGCAGGCCGCGGGCGGGGGGCCCTCCTCGGGAGCCAGCGGCGACGGCCAGGGCTCGCGATCAGCATCGGGCGCTGCTCCTCCAGCACCTGCGGGCGTACGCGGACCCGATCCCAGACGCCGCAGAGTTCATCGCGGGAATCCCTTCCAAGAACGCCGGGCGCTGGGGCGTCAACGAGGATGTCGTGAAGGCCATCGCCAGCAGGAAGGTCCACTACATGCATTTGCTGACCCACCAGATGGAGCACGACCGTCTGCTCTTCTGCGAGGAGTGGCCGGACCTCAGCCCAGCCTCTGGCGGGTGGTGGGTGCTCCAGGAAGAGGACTGGCTGCAGCTGAAGCAGGAATGGCGGGGGTTGTCTCCAGCGATGCGAAAGCCCAGTCGACCCCCAGCAACGCCCTCTCCGCCCATCCCCGCTTCCCCCCGCGCGGGAGGGGGGGGGGTCGGCGAACGAGGAGGGAGAGGACGAGGAGGGGGGAGGGGAGGGGAGAGGGGGCCAGGGCGAGGAGGGGGATTGGGGAGAGGGCGGCACCGACGGAGACACCCGTCGCCTCGATTGAGGACTTCCCCGGCGTGCGCGACACGCGCGACTACGTCAAGCACATTTTGACGCTGCACGATGGCGAGGCCAGGCTTGTGCGCACAGAGTGGAAGCCCTTCCCAGCCTCTGGCGGGAGCATCCTTCAACCTGCCTACTGGCATTACCAATTCGCGCGCAGCTGGGCGACTTATTCGTGGCTCTCCTCACGCAAAGGGCACTTGACCAACGAAGACTTGGAGTTGATCATGACACAGGACGGCGGCGAGACTGGCTTGATGAGGTAGAACCCAGCCTCTGGCGGGAACTGGCAGATCCGCACTGGCCAATTCATCACGCTGGCCGAACTCTTCTGGTTCGGGAAAGACTGGTGCTCATGCTACGATATCTACCGCGCTTACCTGAGCCTGCCTGTCTGGATCCAGAAGCGCAAGCATCCTGTCTCGCAGAATGCGCCGGGAACCAAGAGGCGCAACGCGAAAGCGTTTCACTACCAGGAGACCGGTATGCACGGTTTGCCCACGGCGCCTTGGAAACGCGGGCGGCGGTGAGCACGTGCCCTTGGCGCCTTCGGTGCCGATCCCAGCCTCTGGCGGGAATAGTCTCGCGCCCAGCTCCGGTGCCCGTGTCAGTTTTGGCGGAAGTGCAGATTCCGCGCCCAGCTCTGGCGCCCGTGTCAGTTTTGGCGAGAGCGCAGATTCCGCGCCCGAGCGACGCCGAAAAACGTTTGAAATGAGCTTCCCTCGTCGTCGTCGTCGTCGTCCTCCCCTCCGCCTCCCTGCTGCATTATTCCTCAGTCCCCCCCCCCTGCTCCCGATGCTTACTTATCTTTCTCCCTCGTGAGGGCCAGGGCGCAGCGAAACCCAGCCTCTGGCGGGATGGAGGCTCGACGTCCGGGGAATGCCCCGGGCAACCAGAACAGGACTGCCTGCCCCGTCCTCCGGGGGACTTCGCTCCTGCGTCGCTATCCCGTCCTCTGCCTGCCCCCGGCTCTACTTGTCCCCCTGGAGCCTCTTGGGGGTTCCTGGGGCCTCCTGGGGCTTCCTGAGGCTTCCCAGGAACTCCAGGGGCCTCCCGGGGCCTCCTGCGGCCTCCTGGGGCCGCCCGGGACCTCCTGCGCCCTCCTGCGGCCTCCTGCGGCCTCCGGGGCTTTCCTGGTAAGAACAACGCAGGACACGTGACAAAACAAGGTATACCGAACCAAAAAAAACAAACTCAAAGTAGATCACACCCGCCCAAAAGTAGATGAGACCCGCCCAAAAGTAGGTCAGACCACACGCAAGGAGACCATACCCCGTGGAAAAGTAGATCAGACCCCGCCCAAATGTAGATCAGACCACCCGCAAGGAGACCGCACCCCGTCCAAAAGTACACCAGACCCGCCCAAAAGTAGACCAGACCACCCAAAAGTAGACCAGACCCCGTGGAAAAGTAGATCAGACCCCGCCCAAAAGTAGACCAGACCCCGCCCAAAAGTAGATCAGACCCCGCCCAAAAGTAGATCAGACCGCCCGCAAGGAGACGTGACCCCACCCACAAGTAGATCATACCCCGCCCAGAAGTAGATCAGACCTCCCACAAGGAGACCAGACCCCGCCCAAAAGTAGATCAACCCCCAGCCAAAAGAAGATCGGCCCCTGTCCCCAAGTAGCGCAGACCCGCCCAAATGTAGACCAGACCCCACCCCAAAGTAGATCCAGCCCCGCCCACAAGTAGATCAGACCAGCCGCAAGGAGACCAGACCCCGTCCCAAAGGAGACCAGACCCCGCCCAAAAATAAATCAGACCTCCCACATGTGCACCAGACGCCGCCCAGAAGTGTACCAGCCCCACCCCAGAGGAAATCATACCGCCCATTATGAGGCCAGATATCGTCCCAAAGTAGACCAGTTACCGCCCAGTAGGGCAGATTAAATACACCCAAAGAAAGCACCTGCCCCCGCCCATAATTGTACTACACTGCTCTTCGCAGCATGCAACAAACGCTTGACGCCCCTCTCACTATCCGATTGTGCGTAGCTGCGTGGGCTCGAGCGCGCGCTGGTCCAGCCCGCGCTCTTCGTGCGGGCTATCGGCCGCGCGGGGTGGCGGAGCGCTCCGCGCGCTCTCGCAGCCTCTGGCGCGATGGGGCTCCGTTGCAAGACGTGCCTTGAGCGCGCCAGAGATGATGGGAGCTGCAAAAACCCGAAGTGCACAGCATACCGCGCTCCAGTGCCGAGAGGGCAGCACTGGAAAATTGCCCGGTTGAGTGGTGCCTTGGGCAAAGCGGCCGACAAAGTAGGCGCATGCGTCGCCGGCGGGTTCATCCTCACTTTGCTACACAGACATGACATACGTGTCGGCGTAGCGAGCGGCGAGTATCTTCGGGCCGCAGCCTCTGGCGCGACTGCAGTGCGCTTGGAGCTTTTAGCGGTGGTCTATCTGTGCTACTGGCGGTGGTCGACGAGCTCACTTCTTGGACACTTGTCAAAGGCATTATCCCGTTTTCAGCACGCGGAGTCCACAGAGCGAGCTGAAATGTTACAGGTCGCGTGGACTTCGATGGAAGCGGACATGAAGGGGCGCCAGGTTCTCGGATACCGTGACGAGCACAAGGTTGAGTTAATGCGCCGCGATGAGAGGAGCAAGCTCGGGAACGCAGCCTCTGGCGCGACTTTTGCGTATCATCCATTCATGAACCCGGCAAGTCGCCGCACTGGTGGACAGGAGTTCGCGCTGTTGCTGCCTGATGTGCGGGATGGCAACCTCCGGGCAGCTTGCGAGGACCTCGCCAAGGTGTTCCACGTGAAACCCACGTTCAGGGACGCGGAGAGCGCCCTGAGGAAGCACGAGATAAAGCTTTGGGCCGGGGCCCACGCCAAATACAATCGAATCAGGCGGTACGGGTGCTGCAAATGCACCCCGCCAGCGGGCTCCCGACCGCGCGTCGGGCCCAAGTGGAGCCCGGCAAGGGTTTCCTTTGTCCCTCTTCTGCGTCGTGCCCCCCCCGCCCCATGTGGCCCCTCTCCCTCCCCCTCGCGTGTCCTCTTCCTCCTCGTTCGCTGCCCGCGTTGACCCTCCCCCCCCCTCCCTCTCCCTCGGTCAAAAGGATCACGCAGGGCCGCCGCCCGCCCGCGCGCGGCACCTGCAGCTGCTTCCGGAACAGGGCTTCGTTTTTGATTCTCTTCTGGGAACCGTAGCGGAACATAGCCACCCGAACAGATACACCCGCGGCCCCGCGTCAGACGCGGGCCGCGCGGGCAGGTCGGCCCAATCCTTAGGGGGGGCGCCAGATATGAGATATTTGGGCGCGCTTGGCCCCGTCTTCCGTCTGCTGCGTGCCCCCGACGCAGTAATCCGGTAATCCTGTAGTCCCCCCCTCGCCCTCCCCCGCAAAGCGGATTGTTGTATTCCTGTCGTGTTCCCAAGGTTCATACGGTGGTTGTTCAAGGCGGAGGGCCTGGACGTGCCTGTCGACGAGGAAGATTGGCCCCTGCTCGCTGGCATGGGGTCCGGGGCCGAAGAGGGTTTGGACGACGCGGGAATTGATTCCTACGAATCGGCTGAGGTGGCCCGCGCAGCCTTGGCCGCTGTACTCGCAGCCCCTGGCGCGACGTCTCCGCAAGATGGCGTTGGTGCACCTCCCGAGTATATTTACGGACTCGACGACTTGGTTTGCTTCCTGTGCTTGTCCACAAACAAAGAAGCTGTTGCCCGCAAGGTGTTACCGCCGCCAGCGCTCCCGGTGTCCGTCGTTGAGGATTTGGGGATGGCTGCCCCCGTCGCAGCCTCTGGCGCGACAGCGTGCCCTGGCGAGACTCGTTGTTATGCGAGAATCACAACGAAAGCCACCGCGAAGCCAGCCATCGTCTCCATCTTGGCGTGGGTGTTCCAAGACATTTTGCGATGGGTGCGCGCGCCCGCCGCGGGGGCACTGTGTCAATGTTGCCGAGCTTGGCACGCTGGAGGCTTATTTCTGGCTTGCGCGCTGTCTGAGAGGAGGCGGTGCGTCGCAGACTCTGTCGCGAGCATCTTGTCCTTCGATGCGAAACCCGCCCAGGCATTGCTTCAAGCAGGGGCTTCGAGGAGTGATATTCTCCGCGCCTGGGCGCGCGCGTGGGACTTGCTCGACGGGCTCCCCCCGCGTGCCTGTTTGGGCTTCGACGAACGATTGTTGTCCATGGCACTAGTCCGCATGGGCGTCAAGGAACACCTTCGGGGTGACGCGAAGGACGCGGTTGCCCAGATGTTCTTGGACGCAGGCGGGGAGCATTCGCTTGCGAGGGAAGCGTCGTTCGCAGAGGTGGAGAAAGGGCAGCTTGCAGAGATCGAGTGCCATGTGTTGATGTTGGCGCACAGCGATTCTGGCCTCTGGCGATAATTCGCAGCCTCTGGCGCGAACCAGCATGGGGGGCGGCCGTTGGGGCGGCTGCTGGGGGGCGATCAGCATTGCCTGATCATGTCTGCTGCAATTGCGCGGGCTCGAGCAGCGGCGGCATGTGTAGGGCCGCTTTCAAGAGCTGGGCGTCGGCAAACGCATGTGTAGGGCTCGAACCTGCCAGGGAAAACTGAACCCAGGTCAGTTTCTCACAGTGCTTGTTTCTTGCGTCGCACTTCTGCTGGATACGTTTATCGGAGACGGAGCGAGAAGCCATTTCTGCTATTATTATTACAACTATCACCACCACAATTACTACTAGTAGTACAATTGTTTCCGCTTCGCGAATCCCCGCCAGTCCATTCAGAAGCCCTTCCCATGAGAGCTGACGGGCAATGGAAAAAAGAAACACATATAGTGAAACAGAGCGGACAAGGAGAGGAGGGGGAGGAGGGTGTCGAGCCATCTTGGAGGCTATCTTGGAACACAGGAGGCTTTCTTGGAGCTATGGGGCACTTTTGGGGGTCTCAGGGATCTCTCGGCCCTCTTTTGGGGCATCTTGGGGCCCCCTTGGGGCTCTATGGGTCCTCTTGGGGCTCTTTTGGGGCATCTTGGGGCCCTCTTGGGTTTTTTTTTGTTGTTTGGGGGGGGGTCCTGGGGTCCTCTCGGGGCTCTTTTGGGGCATCTTGGGGCCCTCTTGGGGCTCTTTAGGGGTCTTGGGGCCCTCTTGGGGCTCTTTTGGGGCGTCTTGGGGCGGCGCTCCTGGGGCTTCCTTGGGGCTCTCTTGGGCCTCTCTTGGGGCCTTCTTGGGGGCTATGGAGCGCCTCCTGGGGCCACCTTGGAGGCCATCGATCAAAAAAGGAGGGGGGTCCCCGATTTGTCTCCCCCCTTGGGGGGCCACCGGAATCGCATCTTGGGGCGCTCTTGGGGCCCTCTTGGGCCGCTCTTGGGCGCTCTTGGGGCCGTCTGAGGGCCTCTTGGGCCGCTCTTGGAGCTCTCTTGGGCCATATTGGCGCCATCTTGAGGCCTCAAAAGCGCAGCGGAGGCGACAGGGCGAGAAGGCAAACATCATTGATTTTCTTCAGGTGTTTGAAGGAAATTGCTTTCTCGGGGAGGTCCTGACGGGTCTCCAAAAGCACCTGGGACCGTCTTGTGGTCCTCTTGGGGCCTCTTGGAGGCATGTTGTTAGCTATCTTGGGCCATGTTGGGCTGTCTCGACCGATATTGAAGGCCATCTTGGGCTCTCTGAGGCCCTCTTGGGGCCATCTTGGGCCGAAAAGGACCCCCTGACACATCGCGACCGCCCCCGTCCAAGTCCAGGGGAGGGGGTATGGGGGAGGGGTAAACCCCTCCCGAAGGGGAAAAGGGGGTTTTGGAAGAGGGAATAAAGATCTCGTTAGACCGCCTGTCGCCCAAAGGGATGGCGGGATTTCGAGTCCCAGCATTACTATCATGATTATTGTTTCTGCTATCAAATTTCACTGATCAAATGGTGACGCTATTGGCGTTTATACGATCACAAATGCATCCCCTACACCTCTATCATCCGCGCCGCTACTGCGATTGCAGCTACTACAATTATTACGGCGGCGACGGCGACGGTGACGGCGACGACGACGGCGGCGCCGATGCTTATTGTGATGATTTTGGCCTTGGTGGACCGGTCAGATCATCACCTACGGCATCGTGAACAGCACGTGCGAGAAGAGCAGGCGTTGGCAGCGGCAGCAGGTTGCGGCGCTGCTGAGCGAGACGGCAGTCGCGAAGCTGGAGCCCGACATCAGCCGCTACAGCACTGCGATCAGCGCCTGCGAGAATGTGCAGTGACAGACAGCTCTGGCTCGGTTCAGCGAGAAGTTGGGAGCGAAGCTGGAGCCCAACCTCATCACCCACGGCACTGTGAACAGCGCCTGCGAGAAGGTGCGGCCTCGGCAGCGGCCGCAGGCTGCGACGCTGCTGAGCGAGATGCTCGCGTGGAAGCTCGAGCCCGCCATGGTCAACCACGCGCGCGAGAAAGGCCGGCAGTGGCAGCTGGCCATGGCGATGCTCAGCGCCATGTTGGTGGCGACGTCGGAGGTCAGGCTCACGTCCGAGAAGGGTTGGCCGTGGCAGCCTTCCCTGGCGCTGCTCAGCGAGATGGCGGTGACGCTGGAGCCCAGACTCATCAGCACCTACGCACAGGGAACAGCGCGTGCGAGAAGACCAGGCGTTGGCAGTGGCAGCCAGCAGCGGCGCTGCTGAGCAAAATTGTGGTCGCGATGCTGGAGCCCAACATCATCACGTACAGCATCGTGAACAGCACGCGCGAGAAGAGCAGACGTTGGCAGTGGAAGCAGGCTGCGGCGCTGCTGAGCGAGACGGCAGTCGCGGAGCTGGAGCCCGACATCAGCCGCTGCAGCACTGTGATCAGCGCCTGCGAGAAGGTGCAGTGGCAGACAGCTCTGGCTCGTCTCAGCGAGAAGTTGGGGGCGAAGCTGGAGCCCACCAACATCATCTACGGCACTGTGAACAGCGCCTGCGAGAAGATGCGGCCTCGGCAGCGGCAGCGGGCTGCGACGCTGCTGAGCGAGATGCTCGCGTGGAAGCTCGAGCCCGCCATGATCAACCACGCGCGCGAGAAGGGCCGGCAGTGGCAACTGGCCACGGCGATGCCCAGCGCGATGTCGGCGGCGACGTTGGAGGTCAGGGTCACGTCCGAGAAGGGCTGGCCGCGGCAGCCATCCCTGGCGCTGCTCAACGAGATGCCGGTGGCGCTGGGGCCCAACCTCACATGCGAGACGGGCGGGCAGCGGCAGCCGGCCCCGGCGATGCATCAGACCAAGCGGCCCCCTCTGACGACGATGACTTGTAGACCGCGCGCGCGTGACGGGGCAGTCACTGTCGCCCCGCGCCGCGCGCCCCTGGGGCCCCCGTCTCGCCGCCCTGAGACGGAGGCGCGGTGCCGCGCGAGGAACAGCGCACTGTCGTTAGTCCGCGCTGACCGTCGACGCATCAGAGCAGACGCCCACTGGGCACCCCTGAGGGCAGCCGACCGCAGCCGACCTCTCCAAGTGGTGCAGGTCCCTTAGGCCTGCAGAGCTCACCGCGGTTGTGCCTTTGTTTCTCCAGCTGAAACTGGGCCCGTTAGGCCAGGAAGGAACGCGGTTCGATATTATCGCTCTTCTCACTTAAAACAGGGCCCGCTAGGCCAATGGTTTCTCACTGCGTTGGCGCCGCCGACGACCGCCCATCCGAACCTGCCCCGACGTTTCCGACTAGACGCCCACCTGGCACCCCGGGAGGCAGCCGAACCTGCCCCGACGCACCTGACCAGACGCCAGCAGCCGACTGCAGCTATCCCCCCATGTGGCGCAGGCCCCCAGGCCTGCCGGACTCGCCGTGGTTGCGCCTCTGATTCTTCAGTTAAAACAGGGCCCGTTAAGCCACGAAGGGGCGCTGTTCGATATGATCGCTCTTCCCACTGGAAATTAGGCCCGTTAGGCCAGAGGTTTCACACTCCCGTTCTTAGACAGCATGCAGTGGTCGTTTGCCACCCTTGGTTTGGACTTCCGACATCGCGCACGCACGGTGGCTTGGGCGGGGGCCTCCGGCGGCGGCCCCCGCTCGTATCACCCTAGACGCGACTCCCACAGCGCTCGCTGTGGCCGACGTCCGACTTGCAGGCAGTGCTCCCCCGAGCATCCAAGAGCTCCTAGATCCAAGCTCTCACCTAAAGTAAGTGATGGAAGAGATGCAGCAACATTTAGGAGAAACATGATCTCTTAAACGTGAGGCACGCGTGTAGCCTATGCGCAATGCATGGTCGCGAGGTGGTGCATGAGCATATCTTGAGACATATGTTCGCATACGACTCTTGCCAGCGTGGGCCCGCGGTGGCCGCGCGGTTCGCCCAGGGCTATAGCCACGGGTTGCGCCCATGTGCGGTGGCCGCGTATGCGCGGCGGCCATCGTGTGCATGCGTCGAGGGCGATGGCCCAGGTTGCACCCCATGGGTCGCGCTAAGCGCGCGCTATGCATCGAACCACGTGAGTTTTATTCCACAAACAGCGCTTGAGTGCAATTCGCCAAGGTATCGCGGCGTTGGCCGCCGTGGTGCCATCGTGCCCCCCCCCCCCCCGCGCGGGCGGGTTGGCCGAAGTTTCGCAGCGTTGGCAATTAATCGTTCGTGCGCCCCCCCCCCCCGTACGTGTTGATTGGCCGAGATGTCGCCACATTGTTTTACATGGTTCGACCTAATGTGAACCAGGTTGAACGTCTTGTATCCAACGCATGTAACACGCAGTTGAACATCAAATGGTGGCGCGATGGTTGCTAGCTCTGGTGTTCATGCAATTGTTGGCCTCTGGTACTTTAAGCAATGGGTGGGATATCCATCGAAGGTCGTCGCGCTTGCCAGTATGATTATTCTGGTATTTCAGACACGCAATGGGGCGGCACCTCCGCTAACCCACCAACACCGAATGCGCTTCGTGGGCGCCCCCCGTCTGGGGTGGTGGTGGTAGTGTCGGTGGCGGCGGTGGTGGTCGCAGTAATGGTGGTTGTGGTTATGGTGGTGGCGGTGGTGGTGGTGGAGGTGGCGATGGTGGTGGCGGTGGCGGTGGTGGTGGTGGCGGTGGTGGTGGCGGTGGTGAAGTGTGCGTGGTGGGGGTAGGTGGGTGGTGCGTGGTGAGTGGTGAGTGGTGGGTGCGTGGTGGTGGTGGCGGTGGTGTTGGTGGTGGTGGCGTTGGGTAGAGGTGGTGGTGGCGGAGGCGGTGGCGGCATTGGCCATTGCTGCGCCATCGCCCCTCTATAGGCGTGTAGACGTCGGTGCGCCACCTTGTTCGATTGCGGACCGTGCGTCTTCTCGCAAACGAAACATCAGCCTCCCTCGCCCTCGTCCTCTCGCGTATACGACCGTGCGCGGTGAATCGGTGGCCCCCATGGTCATCATCATCATCATCATCATCATCATCATCATCATCATCATCATCATTATCATCATCATTATCATCATCATCATCATC